TGACTTCAAGCTCTCCTGTGGCAGCTGACCGCAAAGGCTGGGCTGACTGGTGCTTCACACCTTCCGGGCCTCGAGTCCTCCCTAAGAGTGGCCTGAGACCTGTCCCAGTGAAAAGACAGAGGGCTGGGGTCCACAGCACCTGAGGAGCACGCGTTGACCCAGGCTTACAGTGGGGGAGGCAGGTGGGGACCAGGAAGACAGAGAGCCTCTGTGCAGACAGGCAAATGGGAGCTTTGGTAAGTGCCCTGAAGGTGATAAAGGAAGATGGGAGGCAGGGAGGCTGGGAGGCAGGGAGGTGGGGATGAGTGAAGGAGGAAGGGGACAAAGGAACGGGTTCTCTCAGTGAACCCTGGGCACGGTCTTGATGCTTCCCAGCATGTGAGGACTGCAGCTGCCCAGGGCAGTGGGTAGAGACAGCAGAGCCCATCGCCTGTGCCCTGCCCGGCGTGGCACGCTCTGGTCACATTGGATCCTTTACCTACAGTCCTCGTGCCTTGGTTTTCCCACCTGTGAAGCAGGGACGGTCACAGTACATATCTCGTGGGGTCAGGACATATGTGCAGTCACTGCTTTGGGCCCTTAGAGATGGCCTGGTACACTCTAAGTGACCAGCCCAGGGGTCCTAAGTGGGACTTGCTCTTGGTGCCCTGGGTTCAGAAGGACCATTCCAGGCTCAGAGCAGAGGCAGAGGGGCAGGATGCACCCTCATCCCAGCCAGGCCACCCTGGGACCGGTCCTGCCCTGAGCTGCCTGCTAGAGGAAGCCCTCTACTCTCCAGGTCCTAGCTGTGGCCAGCGTCCCTGCTTCCTGGCCTTCCCTCTTCGGTCTTCCTCTTTCATTCCTCCTGTCCCTGGGCCACAGTGGACATCAAGGTGAGGTCAGACAAGGCAGTGGTGGTGCATCACAAGGGGACAGGGAGCTGCCGTTGGGAGCTTCCCACTCATGTCATGTGGCAGTGAGAGGAGGGACATTCAGAGGTCAGCCTGGGAGGACCAGGTCCAGCTGGGCTGCTCCCCATGTGAGTCCTTGGGCCCTCCACCCGCTCCCTGGGCCCCACTGTTCTGGCTGAACAAGGAGGGGCAGCACCCTTCCGAAAGCGGAGCCGGCAGTGAGTGGACTCTTCTGTCTCCGGGGCTTGAGATCTGGGGCCCCAGGGCTGGGGATGTGGCTCAGTGGTAGCGCGCTCGCCTGGCATGCGTGTGGCCCGGGTTCGATCCTCAGCACCACATAAAAACAAAGATGTTGTGTCCGCCGAGAACTAAAAAATAAATATTAAAATTAAAAAAGAGAGAGAGATCTGGGGCCCGACCCTGGAGGGCTCCCTGCCTCCCGTGGCAGAGGGCCAGCCTGCTTCAGCCCTTAGGCCCGGTGACCTCTGGGGCCTCTACCACCCACAGTGTGGCGTTGGGGGTTCTGCGCGCTCTGGGGGAGTCCCCTCCTTGCCCAGGTTGGGGAAGTTCTGAGGACGGAGCCGCCATGCAGTGAGAGAGATGGCCACAGGTGAAGGGCAGTTCAGGGGGGCCAGAGCTGTGGCTGACGGTGGGTACCCCCATGCCGGTGTGTGGCCTCTTGGAGTCTGGGCCTCCCGTCTCAGGAGAGGCTGGCGTCATGGCTGGGCGCAAGAAGAGGGGCTGGAGGAGAGAGGCAGTGGCCCCCTCTCACACAGTCTGCGGGCCCAGCGCCTTGGAAGGAGCCCTGGGCCACCGCGGCTGATGACTCAGGAGCCTCCATGTGCCCAGGGTTCCTCCGCGCTCGTCGCCCCGCCCTCCCCATAAGGCCCCTCTGGTGAGGCCCACCCGCCATCTGCTGGGGCGGCTTTCTCTGCCGTCCACCCAGAAGGCCTCCCTGTTGGGCCAAGCCCCACGCGATCCTGGCCAGCGCAGGCCTCGCTTCCTCCCTCCAGGCAGGCTTCCTGGTCCCTGGGCGCACCTCCTACCCAGGAAGGCGCCGGGCCCAGCTGGAGGTGGCCTCCCCAGGTCCTCAGCGTCCCTCCTCCCCCCCAGGGGCATCCAAGCCCCGCCCTGGCAGCACCTCTGGGTGGTGGGCACCGGCCTCCCTACGTCCTGAGGGCTCGTCGCTGTCAGTGACCTGGCCAACGGCCGGCCTGCGGCAGGTGCTGAGCAGGGCTTCCCTGGACACTGCGCTGCGTATCCAGTGGTCACTCACTGCACCCCTGGCCGGCACAGCACCCCGGCTGTGGAAGGACTGCGGGGGCTCGGCTTCTTTTCCGTTTTCCCATTTTGGGGCTGGGGATGGGGGCCCGGCCCTGCGCCCCCTGGGCACATGCTCTACCGCTGAGCGGGGCCCTCCAAGACCTGAAGCTCTTCTGGGCCTGGAGCAGCGGGGTTTTACTCTCCTGTGTCAGCCTGAAACCTGAAAGGCCATCTCTTGCCCTCACACGTCTCTCTGTAAACTCCCGGTTTACAGCAGAAATAGGCTCAGAGAGGTCGAGTACTTGTGCAAAGTCACAAAGCTAAAATCCAGAGCCAGGGCGCGACCACGGGCTCCCTGGACCGCAAGTCTGTGCCCTTTTTCCTTCCGCCCACCGTCTTCACACTCCCCCACAAAACACACCTGAAACCTGAGGCCGAGTATGGTGCCTGAAACTGAAATGGTTCTTTCCCCATCTTGACAGTGACCGGCGGTTCTGCAGGTGCAAGGGGAGGCAGCTGGGGGCTCTAACAGCCACTGATGGGGTTCTGGCAGTGACTGCCCCCAAGCTCAAGAACTGTCCCCAGGCCAGCTCAAAACCCACTGCGGTTCCAGCTGAGCTCAGCAAGGGTAGCAGGGCGTGTGTGTGTGTGTGTGTGAGAGCGTGAGAACAAGTGCGTGAGCTGAGGTGTGTGTGATCCTGTGTGTGGGGGTGTGTGTGGTACGTGGCGTGATGCATGTGTGTGTGGACAATGTGGATGGGGGTGTGGTATGTGTGCAGTTTGCACGGGGCATGTGTAATGCAGGGGTATGGCATGTGTGTGTGTTGTGAGTGGTGTGTGTAAGACGTGTGTGGACTGTGTGTGCATAATGCAATTGTGGTATATATACATAATGTGTGTATAATGTGTGTGATGTGTGTGTTGTAATGTGTGTGGTGTGTGTGTGTGTGGTGTGTGTGAAGTGTGTATGGTGTGTAATATGTGTGTGTGGTGTATATGGTATGGTGTGTAATGTGTCTGTGTATATGGTGTGTGTATAATGTGTGTAATGTGGTGTGTGTGGTGTGTAATGTGTATGTGGTGAGGCGTGTGATGTGTGTACATGTGGTGTATGTGTAATGTGTGTGGTATATGTGGTGTGGTGTATGTATGTGGTGGTGTGGTGTATAATGTGTGTGGTGTGTGTGGTGTGTAATGCGTGTGGTGTGTGTAATGTGTGTGTGGTGTGTGGTGTGTGTTGT